TACATACATACATACATACATACATACATACATACATACATACATACATACATACATACATACATACATACATACATCACCATTCACTTCCCAACCCGCAATCTTTTCAGTACCTCACCCAACTATCCGGTAATACTCTACCATACAATTGCAAATATTGTACTCTTTGCGGAATCCTAATCTGATCTCTTCCAAACCTCCCACCGATCCAATACATTCCTCCCAACAAAACACCCGTAGTAACACCGATAACCCCATGCTTAATATTCCTCTGTTTCTGCTTCTCCTTCTCAGTCAATGCGGGCGGCTTCTCTCCTCCGTTCTTCTTCTTGCACGCAGCACCACATAACACGCGCGTTGCAGCAGGAATACCGCTCACCACATGATAGACCCCGAAACAAATGAGTCCGGTCGTGATCAGATACGAAGTTTTGGGGAATTTTCGGAAAGCCAAGGTAGCATATGTTGCATTGATCGATGACGAATCGCCGAGTTCTCGTTTGGGTAGTATACGCATCACATATAAATGCGTGGCGGCAAGAGGAAACAACAGGTATCCGGCTAGAATGTGGAATGGAAGTAACAGGGCACTCGCTCGAGAGAGGTACGAACTGGTGATTGTCGTAGTCGTCTTGGTGGTAATCTTTTGTCTAACAACTTGACCTTGCTCATTTGTCTCGTCTTCCACAATCTTTTCTACTTTCTCATACACTTCTCCATACAACTTTCGTATGTCGGCCTTTCTATATTTCCAATACAGCTTTATTCCTCTTTTAGCTAATCCTGCCAATGCATGACCCCAGAACGCGCCAAACACTACGATAGGTTCAAGCAGTCGATTTTGATAAAAGACGCGACCGAGAATGATGGCCTTGTTTGTCAAATTAATACCGCCAAAGTTGGCTAATGCAATGGCTGATAAATGCGTTACCAAGACGGTGGAAAAGACGATAGCAGTGCCAGATTGGACGATCGTAAGGTATCCATACGCTTGGGGAAGGGTGGGTTTTCCACTTGTTGTGCTACTGCTCGTTGGCTTTGATAAAGACATTGTGAAGAGTAGATTGAGTTTGAGCCAAGGGAAAAGGGAAAGGGGAATACAAACGAATTGAATATATGCTCCTCTCTCGGGTAAAAAAAAGATGTCATATCCCCAGTCATCCACGTTCTGATTTTCTCTTCTGTAACCCCTGGTTGTACGTCATCGGAATGTGTAAATCGTACTTTGCTGCCAGTTATATAATTTGTTTGTTACATTTATCATGCATTACAATGTCTCAAAAATTGTGATTAGATGAAAAAAAACTTTATTTGGAATAAGGGCGGGTTAAGCTGCACATGGATTCATCATTTCATTAATTGCGCAGGTACAAAAACGAGTGACAGTGATAGGATCATTATATGCATACAAATAAAGAAAAATTTGGTACCGTTGGTTCAATGTCATTATGGGCCGGATCTTGATAGGCTCTCTAATATAGCGGAAAACATGAATCTGCTTTTGATGTGTGCAAAGAGTTGTGGATGGTTAACATCATGTATTAATGACAGCTCAGCATTCCCATTGGATACCTTAGGTTATGATTATGGGTGAAAGGCGAAAAGCGGAGAACGTGATCCTGAATTTTGCAGTTTTATTGGCCATCATACAAATTTGATCAATGGAATTGCAACATCTAATTCTGATTGTTACACAATGTAGGAAGCCGAAAAAAAATAAATCACTAATACTAATACTAAGCAAAGCGAAGGTGTCTATACACACTATGAAAAATTTTCGATCACATGAATTTCTCTGTCCGACACATGATTTCAACTAATGATTGTGATTTCGCAGAAACTGCCAAGTGTAATTCTCCCAGCACGGTAAGAGTAGGAATTGATGTAGTATACTAGAATTGACGATGATGACGTTCTTATATCTCATGCAATTGGCGGATACAAGTTCCTGATTGGTTACTTTGAATTTTCGCTCTCATAACGGTTCCCGTTTCTAATTGTATCAAAGATGAAATTTGAAGCTTTAAAAAGCGTTGATGGTCCCGTTCTAGGTATATACTTGCTTGAAAAGAGAACTAGAATTGGTATCAGCGATACTGTTTTACTAACAAAACTTGCTTGATACGTTTAGCCTCTTACACCGGCCCAGTTCCGTCCGACTCTCAGCAATACAAAGTCTTTAAAGGCCCAATAATAAAAAAGTCCAAAACTGCTGCCAAGCGCTTTATTATAGCCGAGGATGAACATGTCAATTATATTGCAGAAACCTGCGACAACAATGACTCGCAGTGTGAGTAAGTATTTGGCCGAGTCGGACTTGGAAAATTCGGAACTGCGATTTAAATTTCAAACTCCGACGTTGATAGATACATGGCCGGCATATACAATGAGCGTACAAAAACGTTAAAATTTATGAAAGTACCGCTTTGCGAATTCGGTGTCAGAGTCAAGAGGGCGAGAATCGACAAATCTGAAGAAGAGCGACTGGAGGTATGTAATCATTGTTAGTGTGATTTCTCTTGCGAATTTATACGAACCGTTAACGCTCCTCTTTTATTTAATTTACCCAGACAGGCAAACAATGGGACCGTCTTGCTCTTGAATTTGGCTCCGCTAAAGCAAGAAAACGCATCAAAGAAAAAAGTCTATACTCGATCGATGAAGCAGACCTCGAAATTGCTCGTACTGAATATATTCCCAGCCTAGCTGCCAAAATTGCAAGCGATTCTCGCACACAGGGTATTTATTGTAATAAATTCTAATTCTGTTTCATACGTGCTTTAAAGTACTCAATATCGTATTATCTGTTGAAAGAGCAAAATTCGGATAAACGGTCAAAGTCGGTTGGAAAGAAGTTTGATTTTCGTCCTCCTCCCCACAATAAAGATGCAACGACTCCAGCAGAAGTGTACAAGTTACAAGACGTTGCTCCTGATTTGGATGATGTCGACGTTGTTCCCTTGTTCAAAGCAGAAAGCAGTGAGGCGCGAATGGATTTGATCCCGATTGCGTAAGTTACAAAGACATGTCTGTTCTCAGTGGGGGAAGAATTCAAGCTAACGCCATGATTGTCCCTCCAGTTCACCTTACATGAAATCTCATCTGTCCTCTGCCATTGCTGCGAACGATGTTCAGAAAACAAAGATTATACTTTATTTGGCATACTTGATCGCATTCTACAGAATGGGAGAAGAGGGGCAGATCGGGTCTAGGAATTTTGT